AGCTCATTTTCAGACAGGCTTTTATATAAATGGATCAGGACAAAATGTGAGCAAAGTTTTTTCTCTTTACACACAGGGGTCACATGTTTATGTACAGAAGACATGAACAAGTTCATTTTGCATAATAGGAGACCTTTAACATGGATCTGTTTCTTCTTCTCCCAGCTGAGGAACGGGAACATCCACTACATCTCGGATGCGGGCGTCGGGGGAAAGGTGGAGCGGACGGTGGGCGACGCCGTGCTGTCGGACGGTCAGTGGCACACGCTCCAGCTGCTGAAGAACGGCTCGGCCACGCTGCTGCTGGTGGACGGAGCGCACCCCCGGGTCATCCAGCACCCCACGCAGGACTTCGGGGGCCTCGGCGTCCTGACCTTTGCCCTCGGAGGAATCCCACCCGGACCCGCGCAGCAGAAGACTGCAGCAGGTGAGGCAGCACAGAGGATTCATTATGTGTCTGGGATGGGGAGTAGAAGGGTAGAAGGTCATGGGTTCAAGTCTTTTTTTTCTATTATTGAGTGCTGAGACACTTTTTCCTGATTGCCAGTTTGATCCCAGAGAGGCAGTGGCTACTAAACAATTGTATGTGTTATTTTGCCCCTAAATATGTAATTGGACACACAGTAGGGCTATTTCCTTTTTTACAAACTATGAATTCTAACCTCTTACTTTCTTTTACCATATTTGTATATTTAAGTATGTTAATGATAAATAAGTGGAACAAAATAATTGTCCTTACAGATTTTATAAGAGTTATTGGTTAAAATATGCTTGTAGCACTGTATAAGTATGGTTATAAGCACTCATCAACATGTAAAATGCTTTAGAACAATAATCAAAACACTTTTCATCATTTTTAAATGACTTAAATGGTCAAGTGTTATTATACTTCTTTAAAGCTGGACACTGACATATCTTTTAAAAAAATGACTCATATTATAATGTATCAAAACAGTTAGTATACTGCGTAATAAAAAGATTATAATGTATTACCACTATGAGAATTATCATACATTATGATCCTTGTGAAAAAAAATATTATGATGTTCCCTAAAAATGAATCACAGTTTAGATGTGGCCCTCTTCAAAACTATCCGTGATAGTCAGACACTTGCACCTGCACATCTTATTTACATGTATGTGTGTGAATGTACATGTGTATTTACGTGCTATGTCAAAACAAATACCGAAGCTTACATAAAACTGGCGTTTGACCAAGTCACCCACCCCTTACCTTCTGTATATTACTAATGCAGCAGCATATGGTATGGAAACCTCTTCAACATATCTTTTAGTGTTTGTTCACATGCACATACTGTACTAGTGTGTGACGGAGAAGCGTTTCAGCCTTATAAATCCAGGACACACCGTATTTTTTCCCCAAATGAATTTATAGTGTGCTTCTCAAACTGCAGACCATATTTGGTGGCGGTCCAACAAAAAACCTGGCCTGAAATCTGTTTCTCTCCACGCTGCTGAGATTTACCTGCTATGCATTTACATTAGTTACATAAATGTTTCTTTATCAGAATATCATGGACAAAATGACCAAAATTGATTTAATTTGACTTTGTCTTGGAACACCCGCCCTTTTTTTGTCCCATTTCCACGGACTTCTTATTTTAGTTTAGACCTAAATCACAGATCAGATATCCTCGAGCCTGAGCTGGAAACAGTTTGGAAAAGGTGAAAGAGAGGCTTTCCAGAGGGAGGTAATGAAACACAGTCCACTTTAGAGATGTCACGGAAGGGAAAACTCAACTAATATTATGCTCAAATGTAATAAAAAAAAAGGTAATTGTTGACCATAGAGACCTGGGCATACATTAAATACTGTGGTTCTGCAGATCTGTGGCGTTACGTCAGTGTGTCTGAACTGTTGTGTCTTGTATACATTTTTCAAGAGATAATGAAAAGGCACAACTGGATTTAATCTGCACCGGGATAAATTCAATAAAAATATCTATTTACATCGGTGAGGCAGTGCTGTTGGGCATCACACGAAGAAAAAGATTGAATTAGACACACAGACGTTCATCCAACCCAGATGTGTGTCTCGAAGCAATACAAAGCTCAGACGATGCAAGAAAATATTTTTTATTATTTTCAAATTGGCCAGCTATCGATAGTTTGAATATGCATTTTTTTTGTCCTAAGCTTGAACCAATTACCCGACTAAACAGAATTGCTTTAGCTCTGATTATAGCTCCCAGTTCCTATTTACGAGGAAGCGATCCAGCTCTGGCAGACATTTTGAAAATTAGTCTGGTGGCAATCGGAAATGACTCCCCTCCAGGCCAGTGTTATGTCCTTTTCAGCTGCTGGTGTCTGCTTCTTGTTATCTGAACTTTTTCCCTCTTTCATTCGCAGGTTTCGACGGTTGCATGGCCTATGTGAAGTACAATGGGGAGAATCTGCCGTATACCGGAGATCACAACCTGGTGACCTTAACCAAGACCAGTTCTTCTGTTAAGATAGGCTGCAGGGGTCCCAACCTGTGTGAGAGCAGCCCATGCTGGGACGGCTTGATGTGCGTCAACCAATGGTACACCTACCAGTGTGTCCCGCCCGGCGACTGCAGCTCGAACCCCTGCCAGAACCAGGGCAGCTGTGTGCCGGACCCCCGTTCAGGATTCACCTGCGTCTGCTCCGAGTTCTACACGGGCAAGATGTGTGAGACCCTGGTGGCGTGTCTGGGCGTCCAGTGCCCTCAGGGTAACGTCTGCAAGTCAGCCAACAACGGAGGGTATGTCTGCAGCGCTAACCCCACCGCGGAGACGATGGTCCTTCCCATCTGGGCGGTGCCTGCTATCGTTGGCAGCTGTGCCACCGTCCTCGCCATGGTGGTGCTCAGTCTGATCCTGTGCAACCACTGCCGGGGCCGCAACAAGACCAAAGTGCCAAAGGAACCCAAGGAGAAGAAACCCAAGGAGAAGAAGAAGAAAAAGAAGAAGGGCAGCGAGAACGTAGCATTCGATGACCCGGATAACATCCCACCATATGGTGACGACATGACGGTACGGAAACAACCAGAAGGGAACCCCAAACCGGACATCATTGAGAGGGAGAACCCCTATCTGATCTATGATGAAACGGACATTCCCCACAACAATGAGACCGTCCCCAGTGCTCCCTGCGCCCCCTGTAGCGGCCCAGAGGCAGATATTGAACACTACGACATAGACAACGCCAGCAGCATCGCCCCATCGGACGCCGACATCATCCAGCACTACAAGCAGTTCCGCAGCCACACGCCCAAGTTCTCCATCCAGAGACACAGCCCGCTGGGCTTCGCCAGACAGTCTCCGTTACCCCTCGGAGCCACAAGCTACAACTACCAGCCTCAGTACACCCAAGCACTGAGGTCCACCCCGCTCAGCCACTCCCACTCAGCCTGCCCCACCCCCAACCCTCTCTCCAGGCACTCCCCAGCCCCATTCAACAAGCCCTCCTCCTTTTACCGGAACACCCCGACCAGAGAGCTCAACCTGGCCCGGCGTGAGGGCAGTCCGATGGACATGCACAACGACATGTGCCAGCCCCCGCCCATGTTCAACTACGCCACCCGGCTGGGGAGGCGCAGCAAGAGTCCGCAGACCATGGCCGGCCACGGCCACACCTCCAGGCCCGGCAGTCGGCTCAAGCAGCCGATTGAGCAGATCCCTCTGGAGACGGGGCCTCCTGTGGGGCTGTCCATCGAGGAAGTGGAGCGGCTGAACACGCCTCGCCCGCGTAACCCCAGCATCTGCAGCGCGGACCACGGGCGCTCCAGCTCGGAAGAGGACTGCCGCAGACCACTGTCGAGGGTCCGCAACCCCGCCGACGGCATCCCTGCCCCGGAGACGTCTTCAGAGAGCGACTCACACGACTCCTTCACCTGCTCGGAGATGGAGTACGACCGGGAGAAGCCGGTGACTTACAACTCCCGAGTTCCCAAGCTCTCGCAAGTCAACGAGTCCGACGCTGACGACGAGGACTACGGCGGGAGGCTGAAGCAGCGGCGGTACTCGAGTCGGAGGGCAGAAGGAGGGCCGGGGATTCCCCAGATGCCTCCGACGGAGCAGCATTACACACTGCCCCACAGACTGGGCCAGCAGCCAGGGGGCTTCAACTGGGACAATCTGTTGAACTGGGGTCCCGGCTTTGGACATTATGTGGACGTGTTCAAGGACTTAGCCTTGCTTCCTGAGAACGCGTCAGCGAGAGACATTGAGATGAACAGTGGGGACGGCTCGGTGACCATTCTAAACGAAGGAGAAGCTGAGCAATATGTATGAGACTATTTATTACGATGTTGTAGAATATGGTGATGTTCTCCATTCAAGAAAAAAAAGAAAAAAGGAAGACTGTATATTTCAAGAGAACATTGGACTACTTTTTTTTTATTCACAATTACAAGACGACTTTCAATGCAGTAAGGCAGAAAAATGGCACCTGTAACATGACAGATTTTGTCTTCAGCCACCTTGGTTTAGTTTACCAGTCTTTTCTAGGTCCAAAGTCAACTGTGCATTCATGTCTCTGTGGCCTCATTACAACGTATCCATTGACCCTGAATGGCTAAAAAAAAAAAGAAACCCATGCCTGAATTCAATTTAGTGACTGCAAAGCTCCGTTCACATTATCTTGATCAAACTTTCTGTTTTTTATTACCGACATTGCCTCTCCTTTCCTAAAATGTCTGTCACATTTGCACCTGAGGGATAAGACGGTAGATAATATTAACACTCACAGGAAGAAAATTCCAGCAGTCAATTTTTAATTTACTTAAAAGGAAGCATGTGTGTTTGATCCGACTGCACCTGTGACAGGACACGGCCCTCGGTGTGTAAGTTAGCTCGCACGGTATGGCAGACCCCTCCATATATGATCCCTTTTCTCTTTGCCCTGGTGTGTTTTCTCACAGAAGACTGGCTAAACACTCCAAGACTGAGGATTAATAAAGTCGCCTGCCTTACAGACATTTGAGGATTTCAGTTCAGACTTTTCCTCTTCTGTTTTTCTGGCCTGAGTTCAGGAGAGGAGATTTTGGCCAGATAGTGTTTGTCATTTTCTGACCAGCCAAGCGTTTAATGATGATTTATGAATCCTATAAACATGACCCCAACTAAAACACTATGAACTTGTGTACATTTTTTTTTTATTCATGAGAAATCATGGAGTCATTTGTTGTTGTCCATTATTTTGACATGTATGGTTTCTACATTTTTGTACTGTTTATTAACTTAAATTACTTAAGCTGTGTTTTTATGGATATTTTCATATGCTGAAATGTATGTTCTTACTTTCGGGGAAAGTAAGATTGAAGACTTATTTTTTACATGTGTTACATATGTAACATCAGTATTTTCCACTTTTGATAAAACTATAACATGCTGTATGCTTTGTACCTGTAAAAAGCCAATAACAGAATAAAAAAAGTATTTATTTAAAACGTGTTTTTAACTTTTTCTTTCCTGCAGTATGCAACTGATTTAGATGCATGTCAGCATTGGCAGTTTCTAAAAATGGTCAGCTCAGAATATATCCCATCCTTAATCTTTTGGGTGCTAAGGTATTTAATATTCAAGGCTCACTCTGTGCCGTCTTTAAATAAAACCGGGTCTGAGCAAAACAAGGCATTTCAGGACGCGAATGAAACTGAGACATCTCTGTCTCGGCCAAGCTAAACATCAAGCGGACTGCGAGACGCAGGGCCCTATATTGCTTTCAACAATTATTTACATCTGGCTTATTGAGCAGAACCTCTTTTTTGTCATAGCTCAGTGATTCGGTATGCAACATGCTTATCTTCTCTGTCATCGGGGGGAGAGGGGCCACGAGAGAAAACGCAGGGAGCCGTGAACCCGGCGCAGAGTGACAGCCCGAATCTGGTTAAATTAAGTCGGGACTCGCGGAGGGGCTCGCTCATGCAGAGAGCTCTGTTGACCGGAGCCTCTTTGGGAAGGCCGCACCACGCTGATGCTGGGATAATAATAACACCAGCAATGATAATGAGAGTGTGTGTGGGTGGTGGGGCGAGTAAATAGGAGATGGATTCAAATAAACCTCACAGCATCTCGTCTGCTGTGACTGAAAAGTATCAGTCAACTTCCCTATAGGTAAGCAGGAGAGGCTTGTATACACAAAGAGGACATTGTTCTACATCAGGGTAGGATGTAAAACACTCATGAGGACTGACATGAATCTGTCTTCCTGATTTTCATCTGGGCAGGGTTTCTTTTTTTCCCACAAGTGCTGTTTTTGGATATTGTCCAGACGGCTGCTGGACTTCACCGAATGGCAGAGGAGCTTATGATGTGTTTAAGGATTAATGGCAGTGTTTAGCTTAAGTGCGAACGCTGCATGTTAAATTATAGGACATGGCCTTTAGAAAAATGCAACTTGTGTTATTCCTGTCGATGCAAATGTTGCTGTTTCAGTGAGCAATGACAAAAGAAACTGCTAATGCTGCAGCAAAGTATTCATGTGTGTGCTTCATAAAGTCGCGGAGATGTTTGCAAAGTGATTTCCAAAAGTTAGATGCCAATAAGTCAGCCATAATGTGTTCTGCAGATCTACACACTGAATGCATTCATCTTGAATGAAGGTGTGAAAAAAGCAGCGCTGGTTTTCCCATGGAGCTCCCACTGACGTGTTCCCCTCCGGGTCCACAAATGTCATCAAAACATAATTCCCATTAAGATGATTTCCCTGTTGACTTACGAGTTTCCCCACTATTTATAAAAGGATGTGGCACTGAGCTGTGAGTGACTTCCTTGAAACAGAGTTCCTCCCACAAAAATCCTCCTGAAAAGCTTGTTTATAGAGATTGATTATTCTGAGCCTCGGTGTCCTCGTACAGCTGCAGCGCCTCCCCGAGTCTCATTTAAATGACTCATAATTAAAACATTCATCCCAGGAACAAAGATCATGTTTCACTCTTACTCTCATGTGTTGGTGTTAAGTGACTTTTGATGGTGCACGTCTGTTAAAAAGCCAGTCAGAGTGAACTTCATCAAAACCTCGAAACTAATTTTAAAAAATACTATAAACTCCAGATATTCTAAACAAAAACTGTGTTTTTTATAAGATTTTAGGGCAAAACTCAGCTTGAACAGATGGGCTTCCCTCGCGCCACTTCCTGTTTTTCTTTCTCTCTCCCTCCCGTTTTCTCTTCAGGTGCTAACGAGAGGACTGGTTTCCACCTGTCCTGTAATGCTGCTCATTGGTTCCTTCAGACATTGAGCTGGCCAATCATCAGTCAGGGACCTTAACCCTTAACCCTCATGTTGCCTTCGGGTCAAATCTGACCGATTTACTACTTTCATCAATCATAACTTTTTTGTTTCACATTTGATTGCCTCTTGGGGCCGAAATCGCGTCATTTGCAGGAAACAACGTCTAAGGAACCTTAATATTTAATAAACTAGGAATATTTAATATCCATATATAACGGGAAAAAACTAATTTAACTGATCTTTTTCATTTTAGTTTTTTAAAACACACAATGCTAACAGTGAGCCTCTGAATTAGCCCAGAGCGAAAAATGCTAACCTATTACTGCACCGAAAATCACTCCTAGCTCCCTTATTACTTATCCTAGCTGCACATCCAACACATCGTTTATGATCGTAAAGACACAGAATCTAACGGTGCCCACCTCAATACTGAAAGATACAAACTCGCGACGTTATCAACAAAAACGTACATCAAAACAAGTGGCGCTAGTTAGCCCACAACGCTAACATGGCTTACCTTCGTCTTTGTCTGGTCTAAACTGGTCTTCAACAGTGTTGGGACTAACGCGTTACAAAGTTACGCGTTACTGTAACGCAACTACTTTTTGCGGTAACTAATAGCGTTACTAGTTACCTATTCCCATTAAGTAACGCCGTTATAGTTACTGTGATTTAAATGGGTGCGTTACTGCGTTACATCCTGTGATGGAACTGAACCGAATCTCCCTGCGGATGTAATTTACAGGCGAATACAGCGATGTCCTCTCACAGTAGCATGGAAAAGTGAAAGTAACCAGAGGGGAGTGATGATTGGTTAACGCGGGGTAACATTTCAGGGTAAGCCAGTCAGAGACAGAGTTGGGCGGGTCTTGCCTTATGGGGAAAATACACACACGAACACTTGCTAATGCTAACACACACACACACGGCAACGCTCACCACTAGCACACACACAAAAAATGGCAGATGCAAGTATCAGCGAGAGCAGCAGCGCATTTG